ATGATGATGATGATGATGACGATGGTAATAATAATAATAATAAAGATGATCTGTAATAATTTTTCATAATATTTTTTCACAGGATTACTATCAGCTCTGTCAGCCTGCTTACAATCACTGCCATTGATAACAGAGCACTCCACTCATCAATTTACTAATGATGATAATGATAATAATAACAACAACAATAATAATAATAACAATGATAATAATGATGATGATGATGGGTTGGAAGAGATGATGGCATTTAATGAGAGGGTAGTTGATTTGGTTGAAAAGCTGACTTCGTTTTCGTTGGATGTGTTTGGCGGTTGCCTCACCGATGATGGTTATTATTATTATTATTATTTATTTATTTATTTATTCATTCATTCATTTAATCATTCATTCAATCATTTAATCGCTCATTCAATCGTTCATTTGTTGAGTCGTTTGTTTGCCCATTGTTTTGTTTTTATTTTTTCATTCGTTTATACGTAGATTAGTTCCTTCATTTGTTTGTTTGTTCTTTCATTCACTCACTCATTCATTTACTTACTCATTTGATCATTCATTCACTCATTCATTCATTCAGTCATTCATTCATTCAGTCATTCATTCATTCAACTTCAAAACCATTGCAGATACGGCTCCTTCTTTTGAGCAAATCAATCAGGCAATCATGTCGCTGATTGGAGAGTCAATCAAAAATAATAATAATAATAATGGTGGTGATGATGATGACGATGGTGATGGCGAAAAGTTAGTCAACATAAAATACCAGGCTATCAATTCCTGGTGCTGGCTAAATATTAAAGTATGGCAAACCATTTAAAAAATTGCCATCACATAACGTGAATGATCTAAAATGAATGCTAGAGTGGGCAACTGAATGAATGAGTGAACGAGTAAATGCATTTTTGACTGAATGGATGAATGAATGAATGAATGAATGAATGAATGAATGAATGAATGAATGAGCAAATAAATTTACGAACGACAAAACGAAGGAATAATGATTGCGATGAAGACGACGACGACGATGACGATGATGATGATAAGTTACTTAGTTTTAAACGACCAATAAAATTCTACATTACCTTTTATTAACAGGAGTGTGGATTGCTCTTAGGGGCGTTAACGAAAGTGGCTGGGAAAAATAATTTCAAAACAATTCATTCGAAGGATATAAGGAGAATCAGCGATTGCTTTTTCAAATGCCTAACTCAATGTAGACACCGGGTTTGTTTGTATATGTCTCTTTCACTCATTCATTCATGCATTTATTTATTCATTTATTCATTCATTTATTTATTTATTTATATTTAATTATGCATGTGATGATATAAGATTTTTTCGAATGTGGTTGGTTGGTCAGTGGATTGGCTGTTTGATTGATTAGTCAGTTGTTCGTTGATAAATTGATTAATTCATCCATTTATTCACTCCTCACTCATTCATTCATTCATTAATTCATTCATTCATTCATTCATTTGTACAATCGTTCCTTCAAAAACACTAGGGCGCTATTGAAAGTTGCACGATTGGATTCACGCAATTCACTCTGGCAGTCTTTCAGTCAGAGGATGACTTTATACGCAACATCCCACATCTACTGCTTGATAAGGTAACTACCCTCTCTCTCTCTCTCTCTATCTCTCTCCTCTCTCTCTCTCTCTCTCTCTCTCTCTCTCTCTCTCTCTCTCTCTCTCTCTCTCTCTCTCTCTTTCCCTTTCCCTTTCTTTTTTTCTTTCTTTCTTTCTCATTTTCATATATATGTTTTTTATATAATGACCATTAAATAGGTTTTCAGACAGCTGAGTCAGCTGAGCAAAGCGTCAGTGACCAGACGATCAGCTGGTCTGCCGTCTGTCATTCTTAGCATTCTTGTGTCTGAGGCTAAACTTTCAAGGGTTTGTCTATCTGTCTGTCAGTCTGTCTGTCTGTCCGTTTGTTTGTCGGTCTTTCTGATTGAAGACTGTATTTGTCTGTTTTTTATTGGACTGAATGTCAGTTGCTAATTCTCAAATCCGCGCCCGCGCAGATGTTTCTTCTAAAGAAGTCAGTTGAAAAATTGCTGGATTTATGCAGATGTGATGACGACGACGACGACAGCGTAACTAAAGATAGTAACGAAGAAGATGATGATGGGAGTAATAGTAATGGAGATGGAGAAGATGAAGATGACGGGGGAGATGTACGGCATCATCAGCATCATCAGCAGCAACAGCAACAACAACCTGCCCAGTTATGCGACAAACCGAAAGTGCATGGTCTCAATATCTTAAAGACCTTAGTACAGGAATCGTGCCTATCCGATTGCATGTCCCAATATGTGGAGGATATGATGGATGAGGTCCTTCAGTGCTTCCACCATGATGATTGGATGGTCAGGAATGCTGCTCTACAATTGTTTGGTTGGTTGGCTGACTGGTTGGCTGACTGGTTGGTTGGTTGGTTGGTTGGTTGGTTGGTTGGTTGGCTGGTTGGTTGGTTGGTTGGTTGGTTGGTTGGTTGGTTGGTTGGTTGGTTGGTTGGTTGGTTGGTTGGTTGGTTGGTTGGTTGGTTGGTTGGTTGGTTGGTTGGTTGGTTGGTTGGTTGGTTGGTTGGTTGGTTGGTTGGTTGGTTGGTTGGTTGGTTGGTTGACTGGTTGTTGGTTGGTCGGCTGGTTGGTTGGTTGGTCGATTAATAGACTTTAATTCAACTTGATTTGAAGGTGTCATCTGTTATTTTTTAAAGATGATTCTTCCAACATGATTCAGACAACATCAACTTTTGTTTTATTATTATTTTTTTTGTACAGGATCTTTGGTACCAAGATTACTAGGGGAAAAATCAACAACCAACAAACAACATCTGCACATCACTACTTCCTGTGAATTTTTCAAACGTTATCCTAGACTATTTAATTCTTTGGTTGATGTATTATCCCTTGAAATCAATCGACTGAAATTTAAATATCCATCATTGGTTCAATTTAATCATGACGTCATCAATGACGTTTCAACTTCGACCAATCAGGAAAGTGCTGCTATAAATAGATACAAAGGTCAAAGATCATCATTGATACCTGTGCTGACTTTGCTGTCCGGGCTCTCACCTTCCACCACAGCTGATCAATCCAGGTGAGACTTGAATTTTTATTATTTTTGTTGTTGTTGTTATTGTTTTTAACATTATTAAATTTTTTTGCTCGCATTTTTGTTATACTCTGTTTTTTCTTACTCTTCCAATAATTCTCACCTTACCTTGACCTTGACCTGACCTGACAGCAGCCTACAGACGAACAAGCTCCTGACCTTAGTTCAATGCCTCAGTTACAGCGAAATTTGGAAGGTGCGCCAGTTAAGCTCCTTTCTTTTACCCGTGTTAGTACCCAGGTGTAACGAGTACCTCTACAAGTTTATTCTCTTTCTTATTGGCTGCTTGTTTGACCAATTGAATGGAAGATATGCTAATTATTCAACCAATCACGTGCATGGATTGCTGATGCAGATTGGTGCTGTTGCGGCATTGGCTAATAAGAGGTATTTGTCACGTTGGATTGGTTAATTATTAATTTGGAAGATATGAAAATTTTAATTTAATATTACCATTTTTATTGCTAAATACGTTTGGAATTGCCTTTATACATATTTGCTGACGATATAATTCTCATTTTTTTAAATGTTGTATTTATTTTTTACCGGTCCATTCATCTATCTGTTATCACTAATTTCTCCATCATTTGTTCCACTAATTGACATAACTAACTACCACACTGGCAGCTTGAAAGCGCCGCATTTTAAAGATATCAAATCATCAATCGGTTCGCTGAGCTGGCTATTAGATACACCCTGCCTAATCGTCAGACATTGTTACGTTAAGTTAATGCAACAGTTTGGCATCAGAGGAGGTGATGATGATGATGAGGAGGAGGACGTCATTTTGAAACATGTGCGTGGTCATTTCGCTGGTGGACATCATCATTCTGGGGCTGATGCTTATAGAGATGTAATTTGGTTTTGGTTTTATTATAATAATAATAATTATTATTATTATTGTATTATTATCGTCATGATTACCTCAATTATTATCATCCTTGCAGGTTGGTTCCTACCTTTACGAAACGTCATTGGTTGAGATGTATTTAGGTTCATCACGTGACCCCGGCGAGTTGACCAATCATATTTTGACGTGTTTGAATTCCCCATCGAATCAGATCGTTGAACTTACTTTGAAGTGGCTCGTTCATCAGAAGAATGGGCTCATGTTGCTTTTGAAAGAGAAGGGGAATGATTTGGTTATGATATTCGTCAGTTTCGTTTTTCAATCCTTGAAACTTTCAATATTTACGAACGTAAATATTTTTATTATTTTAATTTTTCAATACAAAAATCTCCGTTTTATTTTTAGAAATTGTTATGGAAGTTGTTGAAGAAATTCATTACAAGTTCATCCTGGCTCAACATTTGCTCATCGTTGCAAACATTATGCAATATTTCGCGCTACACAAATTATCCAGCTGTGAATTATGATGACGATGACGGTGGGGATGATAATGATCAGAGGCTTGAGAAACATTGGAGCATGTTGATGCAACTCTGTGACCAGTTCTTCATATCATCTGGTAATCATTTTAGTTCGATTAGACATGTTTTTGTTTTCAAGTTTTCACATTATTGCTACTTTATTTTTTTCTTTCTTCTGTCTTTGCGGTTGTCTACATGGTTTAAGTTTTCTTAGTAATCAATCTTCTGGCTTACTCCAGAATCAGCCAATGAGAATGGGGATTTGAATCCATCGCCAGCCAATCAGAAGAGTTATAAACCAGCTTGTTTAGCCTTCCAACTTATTAGCATCTTAATGAAATCACAAATCGTTGGTTTTACACGAATACAGCAACAACAACAACAACTGTTACATCAACAGATACAATCACACGAACAACAGCAACAACAACAGCAACTACATCCAAATACATCGCGAAACATTATTAGACAGCAAAGATCAATCATCAAGTCGGTAAACCAGATTCTTCG